CATATTGACTTTCATCATATGAAAAAACAAAATTGACATGAATGTGATGACCAAATCTTCATGTACTTTTTTACTATTTCCTTAAACTTACCATAAAATCAAACTTGACAATTCTTATTTTTTAATCGAATACAGCAGTATTAAATGATTAATAAATGATTTATCTGTGACCATCATTATTATAATTTGTTTTTAATTTATGTGCCCTCATAATCTTTAATCAAAATAACTTCCCCTCCCTCTTGTAATGACATCTAGTGTTGTAGTCAAGACCACCTAAACCGCAGGTCAAGACCGAGACCAGGCCAGCACTCCTCAAATTCATCTAAAAGATGCACATTTACTGCCAGAAAAATCTCTTATATTTAATACAATGCTGTTACCAATGAAATAAAATCATTAAAAACAAAAGAGATGGCACATAAGCTGCAACTGAACTCGTACAATTACAACTGCATAAATAATGTTGAGATTAATGTTTACAAAAACCAAAAAACAATATATATATATATATATTTTTTATGTTTGTATAGAGTCAATGTCACGTTTCAAATTGTGAAAACAGCTCTCCTGCTCTTGTGATATTGCCTAATTATATCCTATCAATACATAAAAATCAGTTATTGATTGCATTTGAAGCAGGAAGTTTTACATTCAGTCACATTAATGATGTTAACATATAAATCAGACAATGTACCGGCAATAAAATCCAGAGTCCTTTTAGTCTGAGACTGAGACAGGGCCGAGCATAAATGCGTTCGAGACTGAGACAAGAGTCAAGAGTCAAGACCAAGACCTTCAAAAAAAAAAAACAAAAAAAAAAACACTAGCGATATCTCTTCTTTTCTCTGATGACATGTTTACTGGTGTGTGGGCGGGACAACCTGTCACTCACATGAGTTCGACCAATACCAAACCACAACCATCCAATCAATTCCAAATGGACACAATTAAGTCCCACCCTTTACAATTTTTCTTGTTCGAGAAGCCGTTTCACTCGGATATACATGACAACAGGGACGAAAGACTATCACAACTTCCATTTCATGCCGACTTTAAGTTCACAAAGAGACCAAACAACTGACATTTTTAACTGAAAGGCGAGACTTCCTCCCTACAGCTGCCATTTTGAATGTTTTGAATTCCTCCCATTCTTTTTTTTTTTTTCAATAAGAGATCCGTCTCCTGCTCTAACTATCTCGGATACAGCCCACATTCGCCTTGTAACCATTTTATTTTGCTGAACTGACGCAATAGAACTCATTTTTCCATTTTCCACCCCCCCCCCACCCCCCCCCCCCCCCCCTTTTTTCATCTTCATGCCATGCTGGATAATTGTCCATGGCCACCCTGGTGAAATGTTGACAGACTGAGCAACTCTGAGAGGATTCACTTCTGTTCCCAATGTTCCTCATTTGGAGAAAGCAGCTCTCACTGTGATTCGGTGGAGTCCCAGAGCCTATAATGGCTTCAGACTGACATTCTGACATTCTTTTTTTAGTTTCACAAGTTTTTTGGATTTTGGTTTTCTCAAATAGTACTGGCATAGTGGAGATTTATTCACAGCAAGATAAGCTATAGACAGTTGGCGGACCCTCATAATCTCTTCACAATTATTTTTTTACACAAATATGTGTGAAAATGTCAGTTGTTTGGTCTCTTTGTGAACTTAAAGTCAGCATGAAATGGAAGTTATGATAATCTTTTCATCCCTGTTGTCATGTACACTCACCTAAAGGATTATTAGGAACACCTGTTCAATTTCTCATTAATGCAATTATCTAATCAACCAATCACATGGCAGTTGCTTCAATGCATTTAGGGGTGTGGTCCTGGTCAAGACAATCTCCTGAACTCCAAACTGAATGTCAGAATGGGAAAGAAAGGTGATTTAAGCAATTTTGAGCGTGGCATGGTTGTTGGTGCCAGACGGGCCGGTCTGAGTATTTTACAATCTGCTCAGTTACTGGGATTTTCACGCACAACCATTTCTAGGGTTTACAAAGAATGTCGTGAAAAGGTAAAAACATCCAGTATGCAGCAATCCTGTGGGTGAAAATGCCTTGTTGATGCTAGAGGTCAGAGGAGAATGGGCCGACTGATTCAAGCTGATAGAAGAGCAACTTTGACTGAAATAACCACTCGTTACAACCGAGGTATGCAGCAAAGCATTTGTGAAGCCACAACACGCACAACCTTGAGGCTGATGGGCTAAAACAGCAGAAGACCCCACCGGGTACCACTCATCTCCACTACAAATAGGAAAAAGAGGCTACAATTTGCAAGAGCTCACCAAAATTGGACAGTTGAAGACTGGAAAAATGTTGCCTGGTCTGATGAGTCTCGATTTCTGTTGAGACATTCAGATGGTAGAGTTAGAATTTGGCGTAAACAGAATGAGAACCTGGATCCATCATGCCTTGATACCACTGTGCAGGCTGGTGGTGGTGGTGTAATAGTGTGGGGGATGTTTTCTTGGCACACTTTAGGCCCCTTAGTGCCAATTGGGCATCGTTTAAATGCCACGGCCTACCTGAGCATTGTTTCTGACCATGTCCATCCCTTTATGGCCACCATGTACCCTTCCTCTGATGGCTACTTCCAGCAGGATAATGCACCATGTCACAAAGCTCGAATCATTTCAAATTGGTTTCTTGAACATGACAATGAGTTCACTGTACTAAAAAGGCCCCCACAGTCACCAGATCTCAACCCAATAGAGCATCTTTGGGATGTGGTGGAACGGGAGCTTCGTGCCCTGGATGTGCATCCCACAAATCTCCATCAACTGCAAGATGCTATCCTATCAATATGGGCCAACATTTCTAAAGAATGATTTCAGCACCTTGTTGAATCAATGCCATGTAGAATTAAGGCAGTTCTGAAGGCGGAAGGATGTCAAACACAGTATTAGTATGGTGTTCCTAATAATCCTTTAGGTGAGTGTATGTCCGAGTGAAACGGCTTCTCGAACAAGAAAAATTGTTAAGGGTGGAACTTAATTGTGTCCATTGGGAATTGATTGGATAGTAGGTTATTAGTTTGCTAATAGGAGTTTAGTTATTTTATAAAATTCCATTTAGAAATATGCACACTTTTTCACTGCACAATAAAAGTATTTCTAATCTATTTGTACTTAATTTTGGCCTCTACTTAATCACTATAGCAGGCATGAAAACAACATGGAACAAATACATTAATTTGTGCATATAAATGATATGACACAAATGAGAGCACTTGATTGGCTAGCGAAGTTAATTGACAGTGAAAGGCTTGTTTATGTTAGAACTTATAGTTGATTTATGTTAGCGCTTCCCGCTGATTGTAACCATCATGTTAACTATCTTGATACCCTTGAGATTTTTCTAATGCTCTCATACTTAAACAATTCTGAGCATTTGAGGCATGCTGTTTTATAGTTATAATGGTTACCGGATAGCTTCACCAGCTCCATTAACTCCACTGTGCTGGCTAAGCAGTATTTTTGATGTCTGGCACATCGGTCATACTCGCTTTGAATGTGTGCCTCATAAACCTTATATGCTGTGAGACCATCTATACCCTTCCTAAATAAATGAGTGTTCCAAAAACATTTAGTGCTTTGTTTTTCCCATTAAACCCATTATATTTTATGGCGAGGAAAGGGATTGTAAACCATAACTTTCTCTAAATGGCTGTGGTAATGCTAGCATTAAATCTGTTGTTGAATTGCATATGAAAAATTGGATATGAGAAAGAGAAAAGTCTGGATTTTGGCTGGCACAGTCACTCCTCCAGATGGCAGAGTTTGGCATCTCCTGTTAAAATGATGGGACGATCCCGGACTAAAGGAGCAGCGCCAGCTTACTATCAAGTGTATTGTTGTCACATTGGTGCTTATACTGCATTTCAATGCTAATAAGAACTGTTAAGGTTTAAGTGTTCAAACTTTGTCTAAACATATATGTTCACAAATATTCAAATGTGTGGGGTCGGTAAAATGAAAAAAAAAAATATATATATATATATAATTACTTTTATACCAACTTTAAACAGTACGTCCTCTGGGGAAGTATCAGGGGAGCAATAAAGAATATGTGCATAATTCATCTAAACTAAGAACATGAATGCTATTTAGAATTCATTCAAACTGTGGGAATAATAAAGCTGTCACATCACTATCTTCTTCATGTATATGGCTGATGAGAAGGCTGGAAGGGTGTAGACGGAGGTTGGAGAGGTTGATAGTGTAATTGGGTCAATGAAACACTAGGGACACACAATAGTCCTCTGATAATAGCCCATTGTCACTGGAATATGTAGTTGCAAAGTAAGGCCTGGGGACTGTGAACTAATATTTCAAAGAGGAAGTCTTCTTTAATTTAGATGCACTTTGTACTGTAATTTAAACCCACAGGCTCATCAATCTTTTTACTTCATGCAGTGCAAATTCTCAGGGTATCTTTCCTTTTAATAATCAACTTCTGCACAAGTACTACCTTAAAGTCTCTGCTGCAAAATAGCTATTTCCACTGCTGTTTCTTAGAGGAAAAAAGTTAATTTATAAATGATATATATGTTCAGTAAATAAATAAATAAATATATGTTGACAATGACGGGCATGTTGTCATAACAATATCTATCTATCTATCTATCTATCTATCTATCTATCTATCTATCTATCTATCTATCTATCTATCTATCTATCTATCTATCTATCTATCTATCTATCTATCTATCTATCTATCTATCTATCCTTCCATCCATCATGAGAGTTTACTCATACAACAATACAATCAAGTGAAGAGAAACTTCTCTATTTCTATTTTCTCTTAGAATATGTGAGATTCCCTATAACTTTAGTACTTATTCATTCTGTGTCAAGTGAGTCATTCATCTCTGTAAGTAGGCTACATCTTCCTCTCCGCAGTGATTATTCTAAGGGAACTGAGAGTTTAAAGCTGGCTGTCAGTCAATCAATCACGATAGTTATGCACTGTATCTGCCGCTTCCGGTTTCACTCTGGACTTCAGCGCGCGTGAACTCGGGAAAAACACATCAGGACTTTTCTCTGTCATCCGGGATTGTGTCTTTCTCTTCAGGTGGTTTGGGAATGTGGCTACTTGACGATTATTCCGTTCATGGACTTAATATTGCCTTACTGAGGACTTTATTTGTACATTAAAGAGAAGGAGGAACATCACCTGTAACAGTTGACCAATGACACCTGTTGACTCTTCGGCGCTGGTTTTAAGAGAAACTGTGCTATAAACAAACTACGAGGATAGCTGAACGTTTGATGAGCAAGTTAAGATGAAAGTCACGGTCAATTTCGGGGAAACGAGGGTTGTCGTCCCGTGTAAAGACAGTTGGATGGTACGGGATTTGATCGATCAAGCCACTCAAAGATACAAGAAGATTGTTGAACAGGTAACGTGTTGTTTTTAAGTTTGAAATCGTAACAAATCGTAATAAATATTAATTTATGAGTCCGACTGTTCACTATGGATTGTTTAAATAGACTTACTTTGGCATTTTTAATCGGAAGTATTTGAAAAACTACACCTGTTTACCGGGTGGCGAATCCTACTATGGCGAAGGCCTGGTTCATGAATATTAATATTAAAGCCTTCACCGGGTGTGCCCTCAAGCTCATATCACGTGATCTTGAGCTGTCTGTCAACACTGCCCTTTTTCAGATTTCTGGTTATTGTTTTAAATATTCAATATCTTTAGACATTCCTACAGTCTGATACTGTGGTGAAAGATTTGTTCTGCGCCTCAAATATGTAAATATTATCTTTAGGTCTACACAGTATGTCTGGGAAATTGACTTAGATTGTTAGTCCTCTGTTACCAGTGACTTTCTCTTCACTTTTGTTTGGATATATATTACAATTTTAAAACACACACACACACACACACACACACATACACACACACACACACACACACACACACACATATATATATATATATATATTAATAATAACAATATTATTATTATTAGCCTACATGCATATTTCACACAGTACTGGTCAAAAGTTTGAAAAACTACTATTTTTATTGTTTTTGAAAGAAGTCTCTTTGCTCATCAAGCCTGCCTTTATTTGATAAAAATAAAAAAAATACAGAAAAAAACAGCAATATCGTGAAATATTGCAATTTAAAATAATGGTATTCTATTTCAATATACTTTCAAATATAAATTATTTTTGTGATGCAAAGCTGAATTTTCAGCATCAACACTCCAGTCTTTCAGAAATCATGTATGTATGTAGTAGCCTATGAATGTGTGTGTGTGCATTATTTACAATTACTTTGGAGTTTGTTATTTGGAGTATTTGACAGCTTGGTGATTGTTCAGATTGATAATTTATGTGAAAGTGTCATGCATTTATTGTGTTAAAATGTTTTTAGAGGTGTACTTCTAATGGGTCAATTATTGCACTTCGATCTTCAAATTGTTAATATCATCATTAACTTATACATAAATAAATATGTCCCAAGTCCCAACTATATTCCACTTAGAGTTTTTTTTTTATATCACCTTATATTAGTCCTCACTGAGCATAATCACACTTTAATAGTGCAATGCTTGGTCACTGTTAACTATGCTAGTCCTTTTGTCCAGCTCCTGCAGTAAATGCCAGGTGGAATAAAGCAGGACTGATGTGATGAATACAGCCGTGTCATTAATCGCCCCCTATCTCCAAATGCAGGTGGCAGGCTGTGTTTGATTAGTTTGGCCTGGGCTCTCTGGCTGAGATGGCTGGCTTTATGGGAGGTTTTAGTATGAGGTTTTAGACTGATGGACGTTATCGGCTGAGATTGGCTCAGTCGGATGGGATGGGCCTGTGCCAGGCGTGCTGGGGTAGACGTGGGCGCTGTATCCATTCTGTCAACCCACCTCTCGGGTCTCATGCGTCACTGAAGTATTGAGCCCTTCATCTATGATAGCGGTGCATGATGCATCCGTGATGCACTTCACCTTGCTTAGACATTGTGCATATTCACATACAACAAGCAGATTGTGTTGATGTTAGTTGTACACTTTAAAATGCAAATGTGTCTGTGGATGGATGTTTAATTTACATTTACTTTGAGAGATGAGCTGTTATTAGTTTAAATGGACGATTTACAATGATGTCAACAATGAAAACACATTATGCATTATTAATGAAGACCAGGGTCCTGTTTTGCAAATGTGATGGGATGATTACTCAAATAAGCTTCAGGTTAACTCTAGTAGAGCTGCACAATTATGATTCCGACTGCCCATTTAGATCTACTGCAGTTTTATTGAGGATACACTACATTTGCTGCATTTATGCATTGCAATCAAGTTTTAAATTCAAATTACAACCTAAGATGTCTACTTTAATTTCAACACTTTTTCTTTTCTGTTCTTGGTTGATGTTTGTTTAGTGTCATGTTAAATCTACTTCTTGGGTCTACTAAAATCCTTGGGTGGAAATCTGGCTTATGAAAATTGTTGCAGAATAGGAGAAAGTTATCATTAAATTTAAAAAAAGGTTATAAAGACAACATTTTGTTTTCTTTAGGAAAACTGACGCACTGCACTGGTGAATCGTTTTATGTTAAGAAAATGAAAAAAAAACTACATTTTGGTTTCATGTTGATGTTGATGTTGGTTTATATGCTTCTTAAAAAATAGTTAGTAGTCTGTCTACCCCTAAAACCAATCCTATAAGAATACTGAATTAAAAGTGTCAGTCCCATTCAGTGATGTTTGCGTGTCCAGCAAGATCTTACTGACTGGTTGAGATTAACTGACATCTGAGGAAAACTGCTTTATTATCCTGCCATAGCTGGGCTCTGCCGGGCCGCTGCTAACCTCTGAGGTTTGCTGGAGAGCTGACTTGGCAGGCAGCGCTGCTGAGATCACTACACACGGCACACTTCCAAGAGCACAAAGCCATCGGTGTCAGCAGCCATCCCTACAACAAATTGCCTTGGATTTAAATGTCACAATGGGTATATGCAATATCATAGTCCGATAGGACCGTTCCTATATGCTGAAAACTGACCCTATTTACTTTCTGAAGGGGTCATACTTTCTGACATGATATTTTTATTTTTATTTTACTATGTTCATTGAGGTTCACTTATAATGTTAACGTTTTTTTCCCACAAAAAACAAATGCAGAAAAACTATTACGTTCAACCTTCATTCTGACCCTCTGATTGATAGGGGTGCTAACGATTAATCAACGATCAATTAATTGTCGATAATAATTTAATCGATAAAACTCGATTAGGAAAGGTCTTCATTAGAGTGCGTAGTTTTGATGTGCAAAACACGTGCTGCAAACATGCGAGAAAATTGAGCGCACCACATTTACATATTCTAAATGTATTAATATCTTCAATATGCAATGCTAGCTTGCCATTTATTTCGAAACATAGTTAACCAAGGGTCCAAAAAAACTTCCAAACAAGCGATTTTACTGAACAAGAACTACTTGTGTACTTTACACTTTTCCAGTAATTTTCCCTTAACAAAATATATCGTAATAGAAAATGTATTTCTAAGTTTCTGCATGTGCTTACGGGTGACATTGTTTCAAATCATGGGACAGGGTGTTGCCTGACTTTGATGTCACGTATCTTCGGCACAGTTTGCAGTGCAGGGTGGCTGCAATATTTATAATATTACTATATTAATAATATGTTTCGTCTCTTAGAAACATACATTTGACCGTAGTAGTAGCTTGAGTTAGGATGCAGATGTATTCATGTTCATTAACAAAAACAGTAGCATCTGTAATAATTGTAACAACCTAATTTTTATATGGTAAAATTTAAATATTCTGACTGTTTGAGATTTATTAAAATGAACCATTGGTCTTCCATAGTAGCATACATTTAGATCATGATTACCACAGTTAAAACCACACATACAGCACCTCACTACCATGGTCAAATGTATGGTTTCTATTGTATTTATATGAAAAACAGTAGTTCATAACTTTTCATAAGATTGGTCTAATTTGATGCTGAAAAGTAAGACTGATTGCCCCTTGGCTAACAACTAGTTAGTCATACTGGTTCTTACAACACAATCTTAATTTAATGGCTTTGTTTAAGCAACTGGCCTCATATTATGAAGGTAAAATGGGTTGCAAATAAATTTTAAGGCAGTTATTAGCCATAATTGATTAAAGACTTCAAGATCGAAGCAAATGTAAAATACCAATGTTATTGTGCATTCCATGATTGCGAAATGTAAGTCTTTTGGGTTGTTTTATCAAAAAAAAAAAAAAAAGTGTAATCACTTAGAAAATCACTCTTCTCAATAATGTGCATGATTTGAGGTATTGTATCACAAAGTGTTCTGGATGAATTACATGCTGACATTTCATACTTTGCATTAGGGGTTTGTTCAGATAGATTATTAACCCATCAGTATATAGTAATCATAATGTGCTTGCCTTTGCAACAAAACAACACTAATTAAAGATTGTAGCTGTGAGGAATCATTTACAGTTAGTGCATGTAGGAATTACTTCTCAGTTCTCATAGATGGAGAGGCTGATTACTGTGTGTTTGACATTTGAGACCAAACAACTTCCTGCTGTTTAATCACAGGTAATCGGATCTTGCATTTTCGGATTTCTCATAGTGTTTTATGGGATTTGTGGGAGAAAAAACAAAAAGACAATAAATCACTGGAAAATTCACAATTTAGTTTGTTAAAATTAGAGATGGTGATTCTCTGAATAGAAGGTAACTAAACAAAATAACATGTAATTTATTAGATGTTCTGACAAAAATGCTGCAGTCTATTTAAAAATATTTCATTTAATTATTATTTTTAAATCAGTTTAAGATGAACGATTCAATGACTCATTCATAAAGACTTCACTTGTTTCATTATTGGATGAATCTGCATTTTCGAACTAATCTTAAATAAATGACAACCATAATTGATACAATTTTTATTTGAAGTGTCAAGTTATTTTCAAAAGTCCCAAAAGCCCGAATTAAAAACGTTTATTCCAGTACTTCTGTGATAATTTAAATTATTGTAACACAGAAACAATGATCAATGATATGATAGTTTCATAACTATAGGCTAGCATTCTCTGGATCAGCAAATTTGTATGTTTACTGTGATCATACTTCTACGAAATAGTCACAGTTTTCCATAGCTTCTCACATACTCCATATTCATTTGTTTCTTCTTGTCATTGGCAAGATGTATGTTAATGATAATGAATCTGTATTAATATTACAGGTTTTTGCTGTGGGAAGCTTTAAAAGTCTAAAGTGTTACGGGAGCTTGAGCTTGTGTGTGTAAAACGCACCAGGTGTGTTGTTCATCCAAAGCAAATGTTTTCTCAGATGGTTTCATGAAGCTGAAAACAGTCCCAGCAGACATATCTGCCTAAACCGCATGAACACTTTTCCACACCAGCAGGGTGGACGCAAACGGCTGCTTCCTGTTGAGTCTGAAGCAGAGAAAGCGCCTTCACAAAAAATATCAGAGTGTGTTAATCTGGGTTGAATTGAGAGTCACTGTTTCATTATGGATAGGGGGAACTGCCTCTTTCAGTATTTGATGGTATCAGCTTCCGTTTTAACATGTTTTTGGAGGGTTGAAACTGCGTTTTTGAACGGGTTTTGGATGGGTTGTGAATAGATTGAGCAGTTATTCTCTTTTGAACTTCAGAATATGTGCTTGTGTGTGCAAAAAGAAACTCAGACATCCCTCTCCGCGAGTCTCACGCATATTGATTGCGGCTCGCTGACGCCCGCACATTATATGCATGTACAATTTCCCGGGAATATCAAGCTAGCAAGGGACAAGCCTTGTTTACACCTGGTGTTAAGATGCGTTTTCGGTGATGCGATCACAAGTGGTCAGCCAAGAAACATTACCGTTTAACAATCTTTCTTCCTCCCCATAGAACTGTGACTTGCTTAATAATGTTGAACAACCTCTTTAGGTTTTCAATTTACCCCAGAAGACCTGGCAAACCACTTAACAAACCTGTCTGAGATTGATACCAGTTATCTAAAAAGGAGAAATAAAACACACTTTCGGTGAAAAGATTTAATCTGAATTTTTATTGTCCGAGTGCGGAAACGTATTCTTAAATATTAGTTTTTATGTAAAATTTCCCCCCTAAATCCATTGACTTGTTTATTCCCAGGTTTAAATAAAGAGAAAATAAATCATATTTTCAGTGTAGCCTCACTGTTTTCTTTAAATATCCTATTGGATCCTGTACATACTATTTCAACTGGCCAAATCAAAAAAAAAAATGTTATTTATTTTTAGCAGCTTATATGTCAGAAAACAAATATTTATATATTTATATTATGATTTAAATAAAGATTTTAGACATTTTATTAGGTTTTTCATTTGCATGAATGTGTACTTTTGGTGCAAAAATATACTAGATTGTTTGATGCACCCAAGACTATCACAGATCATTCACAGTTTTGACCAAACTTCTAGGTTTCTATTCTATATATCGTACTGAAGTTCACAATGATAGAACATTTAATGCACTTTTTAACAAAGACCTTCATTGAAATAGACTTTCATTGTATCGAACTGCAACAGTTTAGTTGTCTGCTGTTTAACATTCAGCATGATTGCATGACATGGAGATTTGAGCATTTATTGTCATGCGTGTCAACAGTTTAATTGAGGTTTCTGCTGAAAAAAAGGCGTTGACCTGGATCTGTTTTGTCATCATGCATTACTAGCCAAACACGTTCTTTTAGACTATTGTAGTATTTTTTTTCTTCTTCCCCAACCCAAGTAGAAAGTTGTTCGGCGAGTTTGTTTGGTAATGAGCTGATGGTATTCAAACTATGAAAACGTACCCATCTGACTTATCTTATCTGGTTACATGTGTACACATGATTGTATGCATTCCCACCGTACATTTTCAAGTTCTCATTCGCCCTGTAACCTGTCTTGTCAAGGTCAATAAAGGAAATTCATTGCAGCCATTTGATATGTTTTGTGAAGTATTATTACAATTGAAAGTAATTTGTTTCTATTTATTATAAAATAAAATGAATTTTCAGCATCATTACTCCAGTCTTAAGTGTCACATGATCAGAAATCATTCTAATATGCTGATTTTCTGCTCAAGAAACATGTATTATCAATGTTGAAAACAGTCGTGTTTTTTATATTTTTGTGCAAGCATGATAATTTTTTTCAGGATTCTTCGATTAGAACATTTGAAAGAACAGCATTCATTTAAAATAGAAATCTTTTGTAACATTATACATATATTTACTGTCACTTTTAATCAATTTACTGCATCCTTGCTGAATAAAAGTATTCATTTCATTCTTTAAGAAAAATCTTACAGACCCCAAACCTTTGAACAGTAGTGCATGTATGTGTATTTTTTCATTTTTTTTTGTAAATAGTTTAAGTTGTCACGGTGTGATTAATAGTGATTCTTGCTTTGTACCTGCCTTAAAGGGATACTCCACTTTTTTTGGAAATAGGCTCATTTTACAACTCCCTCAGAGTTAAACTGTTGAGTTTTACCGTTTTTGAATCCATTCAGCCGATCTCCGGTTCTGGCGGTACCACTTTCAGCATAGCTTAGCATACATCATTGAAGTGGACAAGACCATTAGCATTTCTCAAAAAAAAATGACCAAAGAGTTTCGATATTTTTCCTATTTAAAACTTGACTCTTCTGTAGTTACATCGTGCACTAAGACCAACGGAAAATGTAAAGTTGCGATTTTCTAGGCTGATATGGCTAGGAACTATACTCTCATTCCTGCGTAATAATCAAGAAACTTTACTGCCGTACCATGAGAGCAGCAGGCGTAATGATATGACACAGCGCCTGAAAATAGTTCCGTTGTGTTGACGGAAGGTGACCTATTTTCAGGCGCTGTGTCATATCATTACGCCTGCTGCTCTCATGGTACGGCAGTAAAGTTTCTTGATTATTACGCAGGAATGAGAGTATAGTTCCTAGCCATATCAGCCTAGAAAATCGCAACTTTACATTTTCCGTCGGTCTTAGTGCACGATGTAACTACAGAAGAGTCAAGTTTTAAATATTTAAAATATCGAAACTCTTTGGTCATTTTTTTTTGTTGAGAAATGCTAATGGTCTTGTCCACTTCAATGATGTATGCTAAGCTATGCTGAAAGTGGTACCGCCAGAACCGGAGATCGGCTGAATGGATTCAAAAACGGTATAACATCGCATAGCCATAGTTTATTTCTTAATGCTATGAATCTATGTGCTCTGTGGATCGTATATATATCAGTCTGTGCTGTAATGGTAATGTTGTGAATGTGCTGTAAAATTAAACCTTTCAGCAACAGGAAACACATCTTTTATTGTCATCACTTCCTTAGTTACCATACATTCATCCACATGGAAACACAGATGGACATAAAAGCTGCTATTGTTTCCTAATCATGACTAAAGGGCTTTCTGGCTAAACAAATGTGGGTTCTTTCAGCCAGCATGTCAAACGAGGGCGTATTTTGCATGTTATCTTTTTTGTAATGGAGACGTTCTCAAATAAAGTGAGATATTAAACATTAACCAACAGCAGCCTGTGTGTTGCAGTGATTTAAGTGGTGGTAACAACATCATGATAAAAGACAGATGCTGAACAAATCATTTTAATTGATTAGTAAATATAATCAATAACAATTATTCTGTGGCTTATCCAATCAGATTTCTATCCTAGTCCGAACTATCCTAATCATTTAATAATTATAAACATAACATGACATTTCTATCTGCTAATATGTTTGTATATCCTTTGATTACAGAAATAATTTTTAATAGTTGTAAGAACAAAACAGCATGTTGTCTGTCCAAAACTTCCAAATTCATCTGATTAGTCTCTGGTATTGTTGTTGAACGGAGGACTTCACTGATGGACCTATTGTTTTCAACAGGATGGGGAATTCCTGGTACGGACGCACCATGTGGAGTACGAGGACGGGGGGATCCTGGACCCAGATGACATGCTAACAGACCTGGTGGAGGACAAAGACAAGGTACGTCTACCGTGGTACCTATACACGAACACTAGAGCTGGACTGAGAGATTTTACTTACTATGAACATTATCTAGCATGTTTGTCACAAAAATGTGCGGTAAACGCGTTCAAATGTAGTTAAGTTTGTCTGGAAGTGGCTAATCACTTTGCCTGTCAGTAGCAGTGGCCTGTGATGGACCCCTGAATTGAGGTCACTGTATGAGTTTTAGTTCACTGAATTCAATTTTCATTTGATGTTTAGACAGCTTCCAAGTTCAATCTTATTATCTCTAGCAGCTGTTTGGATATTTTTAAGAACAATAATAATAATCTCTTCCTTTTCTGACCATTAGTCGGTGTCGTGATGGTCACAGACGTAGGATGTGGCCAAAAGTGAGGCCGTCTGAGTGGGTTGTTTAGCCTGTAATTAGTTTGTCTATTTTTACCAGTTTGACACATTCATGCAGGTTTGTGGACCAGCTATTAGCATTATTGGTGGGCGTTATCGCATTGACAGGGTAATCAGCCAGTCACAGCAACATGGAGGCTGTACCTTCTTTCACACGACTTGTCAAGGAGACAAATAAGATGTTTCCTCCTCCTGAGAGTGTAATCGACTTTATAGATCTCTAAGCTGCAGTTAACTAAAACTACTGTATTATCTTTGCAGTCTAGCAGTGGGAACAAGCACAGCAAGTTACTTCAGTGTGCTAAACCGATGTTTAGCTGAGACTTGTTTAGCCTGTCCTCCCTGCCTTGAGCGGATTGGTGTACGCGCCAATGACATCGTCACTATTTCAGTTTAGAACAAGTTTGGGAACATTTACTTATTTTCTGTCTGTCTTTTTGTATAACAAACTGTGGAACAATATAAACGCAGAGCCCTAACTGAATAATTTCAGCTTGTTGAATAACTACATCTGCCCAGCATAATATTAATGTTAATATTCACACCATTTGTGTGATAAATGTCCATTTTGCATAGCATAATCTCATAAATTGTAATAAATTCAAATGATAAGCATAATAATAAGTCGCATAAATGGAACGCATTATAAAACCTTCGTCAGCTGGAGCTGAATAATTACTAATAAAATATTCATATGATATTCAGAGCAGCTTATAATGATTAAGTCACTTTCTTTCATTTAAATTTGGATCAGTTTATTAGGAATTGAATTGTTCTGGGGGAGAAGTTAGTGGCACAATGTTATTGGGGACATTGGAAAATGATATGATATTCACTCAGAGCAGCTTTCTAATTCATTTGTTTTATTCATGTAAACCCTGTGCTTTTGTTGAATTAAAGCTGCAGTCCGTAGCTTTTTTTGGGTTAAAAATTATCCAAAATACATATTTGAGAAAATACATAACCAGCCAGTGTTCAAAACTATCTGCTTGCCTTAGCTCGATTCAAAGCGGTAAGCTTGTAATAATGTTTTTAATTCCAGTGGTACTGGTGGATTTCCGCGGGAGATTCGAGCATGTCTTTGCGTCATTACATCACATCTGTACACACACATCTGTACACACATCTGTACACACACATCTGTACACATAAAGAAGGAGTCTCTCCACTTTTGTTCAGAACCAGAACAAAAGTGGATGTTACTTACTTGTTCAGATGACATTTTCCGGTGAAAATTATTATGTTGGTCATACTTCCAAAAAGAATAATCTGTGATTCTGAATACCAGTATCCACACCGGCGCGGTGATTGACAGCTGCACACTCTCCTCAAACATTGTGCGGTGTCGAAGTACAACTCACGTAAAGTTGATAATTCCGCGAATGACTGCAATTGCAGATTTCGAACAGAGATGGCGACAAAGAGGAAAAACTGCGGACTGCAGCTTTAATATAACTGCCAAATATCTGCAGTTGTTGACACGAGGACGCATGGAAATTGAGCACACATGCATATTATAGGGTGTGTATAATATATGTGTATAATACGTGCATATTATAGGGGATCTTAGCTATTGATTAAGTCATTCATCATCTATGAAATTACATTAATGTTACTGGTGCCAGGGAGTTGCTATGCAATTTCTAAGGTGTTCTGAGTATTGTGTGTGTGTGTGTGTGCTTGTGTATTTTAAGCATTTTGCTATGCACTTGTTAGGATATCCTTGGTAGTTGCTAAGTGGTTACTTTTGTAGTCTCTAGATGTTTCATATAAACTAGTGGGATTTGTTCACCCATTTTATTGTCCACCAGGTGAAAATAAGTTGGATCACTTACAGTAAGTAATAAACCAACTCTGTTTTGAGATGTCATTCATGTCTGTAGCACAGATGGTGCTGGCCGAACTGTGTGCTGAGGTTTAATACTTATATAGGGCCAGATTTACTAAACAGGGCAAATTAGCATTCATTCATTCATTCATTATTTGTAAAGCACATTTAAAAACAACCCATGGTTGACCAAAGTGCTGAACAGGACAGAATAATCAGTACTAGGATAATACGATATAGGACAATTTCAAGAGCAATCGATACAATTACAAGCAATAGAATAAATAATACATTAAATATAAAGCATGAGAGCGCAATTCCAAAAAAGCGCAGATGCGAGTTGAATGTTCTGCGCTTGATCTACTGACAAATTACAAAACATATCCGGACGCAGCCGGATCATTTCCATAATGAACAACATAATCCAAGAGCAGCGTAAATTAGCATCTGGTTTAAGACATGCTTTTTTTGGGGCGGTAAATAATGGCGCAAACACCAGTAAATTGACTAGTGCAAACCTTAGTAAATCACCTTGCATAAAGGCTCTCCTCCCCAAAATTTTGTGTCTGAAAGGGAAACTCCTACAAATGCATATGCAATAAGGTCAGCCACAAAAATACGCTTTCCACGTCTTCTCAGCGCTGATTTTTCACTGTGTAAATCCACAGCAAAAGAGGGTTTGCCTTGACGCAAGCTGTTAGTAAATCTGAGTTTGTTCAAATTACTAACTCTAAGTTTAAGCAACAGCGAAAGTGATGTTTGCATTAGTGTTTTTGTTTCATCCTGTTTTCGTATAAAGAGCATTTTGATGCCTAAAATGGTTGTCTAAGCTTCTCTCTTATTGGAACAGAGCTGTTTTGACTCCAATAAAACAGATTATTGGCAAACTTTCTGGCGTGAAATTTAGGCTTAATAGGAAATGAGAAACTTTTTTCTCTTTAGCTCGCTGCTATCGATTCCTGCACGATATTGCATTCTAAACGCATTTTTCTTTTTCTTCCTGAAAGTGTTTTCCTTCCATTTAGACTGAAAAACCATTCTTGCGAACTCATTTTTCACACTGACCGGGCCCATTATTGCCCATTATGCAGTCAAGCGGCTTTCGTCTCCGTTATAATAATCTTTATCATCCTTTGGAAACATTCCACCGAGACGAGGTCTCACCGTTAGTAGCGCATGCTAATCAACTTTAATGCAAAGCCAGTGCGAGGGAGTCACAGCATCTTCATTAGACCGTTCTTCACCTCCAACGGAGGTTGATTAGGGTGAAGTTGCCATGGCGATGGAATCAGATTACGGCCCCACCCCTGCTCTGGTGCACATTAACCCCCAGCAGGAAATGATGGCGCTTGGCTTGACCCCCGGGCCCGGCCCATGAATATTCAGCGTGGGATGATGAATGACGTTAATGGGTAGAGTTGCTGTAGTCGGCCCCCGGTGGACTCTGGGAGACGGAGAGGTCATGCTAGGAGGACTTGCCACACTGTTTCCTTTAGTCAATTAAACGATTAATCACTCTAGTTCTTCTCTTTTAAATGTATTACTCTGTTTTTATGGCGGTATTATGAACTTACACCAATTTTGAGTTGATTATGATGTTCTTTGGTGTCTCCTTGTGTGGGTAGAGGTCTGAATGTGAGCAATGAGCAAATCTGATTGTGTATGATTTTCTTTTTCCAGTGGAATACAAAATGAGTTAACTAACATAATCTCTGAACTTCTGTTTTTCACACAGTGAAAGTGAAAAAGAAAAATCTAGTAGGTTGTCTAGCCCTAGACAACCTATGCTTTTCTCTTTAACGTATTGGCACGTCATCATTTGTTTGGTGTAAATGTTCTTACATTCATTATTCATTCATTTTATCATGGTGCCATATATTTTATGATGTGATTCAATGTATATTGAATTAAATTTGAATTCAAAGTTGAAATATTCACACATAAATGTTCTGTATGGCTTCAAAAGACTTGGGATATAGTCATATGCACAATTTTTTTTATATTTTTATAGAGTTGTTTTAGAGCTCAGCAACTCCTATTCACTTTCATTGTGCAAAATAGCTCTTTTTGTGCTCCACCGAATAAAAAACACATCATGGTGATTTGGTGAATGGTTGAGTTTCATTGTTGGATAACTTTTCATTTAAATGAGCACTTATTTTAAAGAAAATCAACAAAAATATATGAACAAATCTGTTATTCAATTTTTAAATGGATAAAGAAGAAACGTCCTTGTTCACTTTTATTCATCAAGTGATTGGAAGATGTTGATTTTCTTAAATTAATAAATTGATAAATTGGTATACCACGATTTGAAACCACTTCTAAGGTTACTTCTACTTGGGTTTTGGTTATAATTGAATTACTCCCACCCGCATTCTGCATGCATTAAACTGCCGTCAGCCTCCAAAGACAAATGTTCAGAGTACAATATGTCAATAATACCTGATATCCTGCGATATTATCATACTGACCATAAAGGATTCCTCACCCACCTTCATGAGCTTATCGTCATGCGTTCATCCCACTTGTCTTTTTGCCTAATGCCCATAATCAGCCACTCCAGATGATGAATGGTGATTATGTGTGTTTCTTTGAGCTTTACAGAGTCACTGATAATGACCTAAATCCCCTACTACACCCTATGATAACAGGGCACTTTACTTTCCCAAGATCCGCATTACCTGTACAGCCCTATCATTCACTTCCACTCACTGTCACTCACTGATGCATTATGGGTCTGTCCCTGTGTGCTAGTGCTGTCATAGCGGCCCATCAGTAT